TTTTGTTCCACATTGCCGGTTGGAGTTCTGTGCCCTCCCCTAATTGGTGCTCGGTGTATCCAGCCATATAGTGGCAACAGCTGGAGTCTGGATGCCTTAAAAGTAGATTTCCACTTTTGAGATGGTCACTTATAAACATTATGCTCCACCTATTTTTCTGAGCTTCTGTCCCTCCTGAACAGCCGCATACCGTCTATATTATCTTCGGTGTCTCCAATATCCGCCGATGATCAAGTTTGTGTCAGGATCATAATCTTTGGAGCAAGGTGGGGACGGTAAGGTCGTGGCCCCCGAATCGTATCTCTAAGTCCCCTCGCAATTTTGGGAAGATACTCGGAGGTGTTTCGAACAACATGGCGTGCATCGGTGGGGAAGAAATGTAGGAGGTCGTGTGCCATGGTAAAGGTTACCACAGAACGGCCAGTTCCAGTGGAATTGGTCCAGTCACGTTTTTCCCCACAGGAGTTCCTGTTGATTTTATAGAGTCAAAACCTGTTTGGACGTCTTTTCTATCGACAGCAGTAGTGTTTTCGGCGCTAAGTGAGACTGCCATCTGCTGTTGTCGCAGTTTGCTGGGCCTGCTTCCACAGCCGCGGACGTCCCTGCTGGTGTTGTCACTGGCCCTGTGTTTAGAAAGTCTTGGCACCCAGGGTTAGTAGCCGTTAGCCAGGACGACACTGCTGTTGTCAGACGTGAGTGGCGTCGTAGTCTGCGGATTGCCGCCGCTGCTATCCCATTTAATTGTATCCTTGCTGAAAACTGCTGTCACTGTTGGACATCATGAGTGTACTTCCCGGCTAACATGCAGGCTGTTAGTTCCGGCATTCCATGGACAACTATGGCTGTTGGTTTTAGTGTATGGGGCACTTCCCGAGATATTTTTCTCGCTGACAATGTTCGGTCTGGCCTAGCTCGAATGCTGTATGACCAGTGCGTGAGATAGCAACAGGAATCTTTCCGCCTCCTTAACACAACCTCACTGTACTGTTGAAGTTTCTGTGTTACACAAAACGGACTGAACTGAGGCGATATTTCACTAGCATAATAACTCCTCTGCACGTCGAAAATCCATAGTCTCTGAATCTGATAAACAATGTATGCCTCAAGATGAACTTCAAAAAATAAGACATTGCCTGATTTATCATATCTGTAGCTATTTCAAGAAACATAGAAGTGAACCAAATGTTCAGCTGGGCCAAATCAGAAATAAGAATGGTATTGTATTTTGTTTAGTTTTAGTGTACATTTCAGATTTTGCGTTACCTGGTGGGATTGCAGCGCCTATGGGACGTTTCTGATTCACGTCCGTGTTTCAGTTTCGAAAGTGCCTGATCTTCTTGTTGTGAGTTTTCACCGTTTTTTTTGGTTGTGTTTTACTGTTAATTATTAGTGCATTCCTTTCTAGCTTTCTGAGTTGTCGGTTTATATAACCCGAGTAACATGTTACTCTCCTCTTCTTTTTAAGAATCTCGTGTTCATCGCCAAATATTCACGCCTCTGCACCCCACCGCCCTCTCCTTCTACGTATTCACCGGCGAGACGAAAACCTAACAACAGGTCATTTTGGTTCTTATCAGCAGAAGCAGACTGCGTATACTATACGTTGTCCAATTTATAAATTTGGTCACTGCAAATGTTTCTGACCATGGCATTCGCTTTTCTTAACTTGTGAATTGAAGTGAGTTTAAACTTAAATGTCTATAAGTTTAACTGAGATTGGAGTGCATTTTGACATCACAAGTCAAAGAATAGCTACTAGGGCTATCTGACTTACGACTTTTTCGAGTCACTCATATTCTAGACTAAATAGCCAAAAAGGGATTTCAGCACATGATTCATAGCGATGAGTATAGAATTTTGATTTGCGTTATCGATGACATTCTTGAGAAAACTTTGAAAAAAGTGTTTGATGGTGGTGTAGATCTACTACCTGGAGAACAACTACCCGACCTCGAATAGCCGGACGATATCCTTTACTGTGGCGATAACACAGGCCACTCAAGTCGCTTTTAATCAGTTTGGCGATTGTCCGTGAATATGGTTATATGCTTCGCGCCATTAAAGTGCAAGGGGTTTTCGCAAGGCTGCCAGGATCTATGACTACGCTCACCCTCGGTGGTGAGCCGTTGGAAGTAGTTCAAAAGTTTTCGTATTTCCCTCATCATCAACATCAACATAGGACCAGGCATTATTTGCGTAAACGGTTCGAGTTTGCCACAGCTCATATTAGTACATCAACTAAACAGGCAATGAACTGCAAGATGAAGATAAGAAAATTCAGTCAAAAGAAATATAAAGTACGAGGAGAAAGGAAAGGAAGAATGAGAGAATGGTGAGATTCGGTATAGCGTCGTTAAGATGAGGATAATGTGTGTATACATCTGCGCCACTGACATCGTTCTGAGCCATATCACCTAGAATCTCCAACCACTGGTTCCTCTTGTCTCGCGGACCCCAACCACCTAGTCTGCATCACCCCACATGGTTCAAACCAATGGTCAGAGACTTCATACATTGATGCCATGTTTTAGTCTGGCCATCTCGGACCTTTTTCCAGCCTGGACCTACTTCGGCAACATTTGTATGACGAGGCAGCCGGCGACTAGGCATATGTAACACAAGTCCCAACAATCACAGTCGATGAAAGTTCATAACCTCGTCAACTGATTTACCTCTACTCCCTAAAACTCTACACCTGACTTCTGCATTACTCACATGGTGACACCACGGAACACGGCCTATACTTCGAAGGCAACGGTAGTCAAACACCTGAAGCCTTCTCATGTCTTCCACCTTCAATGGCCATGTTTCACAGCCATACAGTAGAACAGAGCGGACTGATGTGCAGTACACGAAACCCTTAATAGACAATCGGATATCACGGTGGCGCCATAGGTGACGTAAGTCGGCGAAAGCCAACCGAGCCTTTTGTATCCGTGCAGAGATTTCATCGGCCACTGAGCTAGCCACCAGGGCTGATCCTACTTCCCAGGTAGGCGGAATGGTCGACACACTCAATCACCAAACTCACTGTTGTTAGCCGTGGCACCGCTGAAGACCAATCATGGAGCAACAATTTGTATTTGGGTGGTGAGAACCGCATCCCAAACATTCTCAAATTAACACTCAAAGTGTTCAGAAGACTCTGCATCTTGTCAGCGTCTTCACCTAACAGGACTATGTCATCTGCATATTCTAGGTCTAACGAAAATTCTCCTGCGATTAGGTCAACGTTTGTAATCAGTTGACGAAAGGGAGACCTCCATAAGAATATCTATGATGAAATTGAATAAGAATGGAGAGAGTGGGTACCCTTGACGGACACCACTCGATGAGCATAGCTCCCTGGACATCTCACTATAGGCTCTAACACGCCCACAAGTGTTCGATCAAGGAGCCTTCAATAAGGTGATTTACTTAGCCGGCACTCCTTTCAGTGAGAGACATTGCCACAAGACTTCTCGATTAACGGAGTCGAATGCCGCCTTCAGGTCGAGAGATATAGCTATTGTCGGGCGTCGGTAGGCGTGCCTATGTTCCAGGACCTGGCGCAGTGTGAATATTTGTTCGATACACCTGCGGCCGGGTCTATAGCCTGTCTGGTTTTCTCGGGCTTGCTGTTCCCGAGCTCCACTCAGGAGTCGAATGATTATAGAACCTAGAATTTTAGATACTATGTTCGTCAGGCTGATTCCTCTGTGGTTATCACAAGAGGACTTCTCGCCTTTCTTGAAGACTGGGATAATCAATGATTCAGACCAGTCGGAGGGGATTGTATTTGATTCCCATATACTAGTTAACACTTCCGTTAAACTGATTAAGAGCACCTTACCACCATTTGTAGTAGGCGATCACCGTTATCTGTACGTTCAGCCGGGACTCCAAAAGTGTCACCTAAGTGCCTTTCTGCCCCACTCAGTCTACCCACTTGTGCATTGAAATCACCTGCAACAACCACCACATCCGAACGTTTGGCTCTCGAGACGAGGCTAGACAGTTCACAGTAGAACTCGTCCTTCACTTCATCCGAACTACAGTCAGTGGGTGTGTAAGCAGAGATTACAAAGAGAAAACGGCGAGTCTCACTATTCCTTTTAGTTCTCACTGTGCCGTTCAGTCGGATAGTGCAGAGGCGACTATCAACTGGGATCCAGTCTAGTAGTGAGCTTCCTGCTCTAGTGCTTAATGTTATACCTACACCTGCAAGACCGCGAATCTCCAGAAACTGGAAGGGTGAATTTTGCGGATTCACCAGATTGGTCAGGGGAGGTCAGGTGAATAATCCTATCTGGGTCCTGTATGCGTGTCTCACAAACACAGCACGCATCCATGGCCCGAGTTGCTAGAGTCTTCGCCAACGAAGCCTGTTGACCAATTTGATGGAGGGTGCGGACATTGAAGGCTTCAATATGTAATTTGGAGCGTGGTTTAAGGAGACCAAGGATGCTGTTCTGTGGACTCAGATCGTTGTCGAAGGCTGTAGAGCTAGGAGAAATTGAAGATGATGTAGTATCGTTAGTTGAGAGACGTGAAGGAAGATTAGAAGGTAATGATGAGGGAGGTGGATAGCAGTCAGAAGAAATTTGAGTGCTGATCGAGTTGTGAGGGCGGTTGACACTTTCCGGCTGCCCACACCGTGGAAGGCTATTTCTTCTTAAGGTACCTGAAAGAGATTTGGTGACCGGACGTCTGTTTGAGGCCTGTCACACGGAGCCTTTTGAGTATGATTATTTTGAACTTTTGTTGTTTTTGGGCCGAATGATCGAAAAGAAACGACAAATGAACCAACAACGCTGGCCCGGCAGACCGTGAGGTATGGTGGAGTGTGTTACTTTTGGGGTCGACCTTTTCTAACCCTCCCCCCTTCCACTGAGAAGGCAGCATCAGCATAGGACTGCTGGTCATCCAAGAGAAACACCTCACTGCTGTCACACCCCATCCAGCTAGCAGCAGTATGACTTCGCCCTCAGACCCCTATCATAGTGTAGTAATTTACGCTACAACGGTAACTGCTTTTCGTCTAACCACTATCCAACAGACCTTTCTGGTATGGTAGGACCTCGAGGGAACAAGTGTTCCACCAGCATAGCTCGTTGGGTCATTGTGATATGCAAGCCCGACCACCACATCAAGTTGACATCTGTTGGTCGGAGCGTTTCTAGGTAGTTTTGTGAGTACTGGTGGAGGTGAAGGGATAAATTTCCAACCGCATATCGAAAGCGACAGTGGTAGACGTCATTTTGGGGTTAACTTTTTGCACCATGGTGACATCAGTCTAGCCGTAGTACATTGGGTTGAGACGTTATCAGATGTGGCTGAGAATCGAAATCAGCGGTGCTCATGCTATAGCTTACTCCTATCTTCTGCTGAATGGTGATGATTATTTCCTTTCGAATGTACCTTGCTGGATTGCCATTGTAATTGTTGTATTCTTATTGTGTTATATTTTTATTCACTTCCCTTCTTTGTGTTTCAGTATATAAATAAATTCAGGGAATGGGTCAATCCGTGTGAATTCAGAGGTAACTAAGTTTATATCCATTAGTATGTCTATAACAAAGTTCAGCAGGGACGGTGACAGCAGGCCTCCCTCGTAGACACTATTGGTTGTCGTCACTTCAAACGAAAATTCACTATCGGCACTTACAAGGCTGCATGAGGTCGAGTGGAGTTCTCTGGTCAGCAACAAATACTTGCTTGGTACTTCTTTTGACACTCATACAGTGCCAAAACACCTCTCGGCTGACACAGTCGAATCCCACCTTCAGGTCAAGAAATATAGCAAGTATCGGTTGCCGGTAAATATGCTTATCTTCCATAACCTGTAGAATGGTGAAGCTCTTATCTACGCACTCTCGTACAGGTTTGAAACCTTCCTGAACCTCTGAAGTTTGCTGTTTTCTAGCTCCATTTAGGTGTCGGATAAAGATAGAGATTAGAGTCCTGCACATAATGTTAATCAACCTGATTCCCCTACTACTCACAAAAGGACTACTTACCGTTCCTATGAACTGGAATGAAGTAGACCAGTCTGTCGGGAATATCTCTGATGCCAATACACTAACTTAGTAATTTCCTACTTCGTTCCATAAAATCTGGTGGCAAATAATCAGGTCCTGCAGCTTTGCATGGTTTCAAGTTTGAAACACCCTAATCAACTACGAGAAGAGTGCAACCACCCACATTTACGTCCGATTCAGGTTCGCGCTGTATGCTGACCGGCTAAGGCGTTGTTGGTCATTTGAGCTGTGCTTCAAAATGTTTCACTCAATATCCTGAGAGGTTTCCAGCGTCCCATTCTTTGTGGTGATGATCGCCTACACAATTGTCTTCTTGCCAGAATCCTTGACAAACTTTGATAATTCCGTAGTATTGCCTACGTTTATGTTTTTCTACATTACTTTCCGTTTCGTAATATCTGACTTTGATGAATAAAGCTCATTATTATAAAGCAGTTATATGCCTCTAGTTTTTTTGTGTTAATCGGCTAGTGAAGTAATTGCTTTACATGATATGGACTGGATAAGCAATCCGTATCCCATTTCACTGTTGTCTGCTAGGTAACACGGTACTGTTTACTTGATCACAAGAATAGTTGGTTAGTGATTATGATGATAAGGATTCACTTTATTTTTCTTTCTCGATATTGAACTGTATGCACATAAATTCCATTTTTATTTGTCATTCTTATAGCCCTCCGTGGGAATCATTGGTTTTGCTAACTCCATCAGAACTGGTGATTGAGTGACCCATTTATGTATATTTTAATGTCGTTTATAAATGAGCGACAAACTATCCAGTGGATTAGAAATATTCAATGGAGGATAAAACACGTCATTAAGGAGCCAAAATTTGTTCCTGCTAATCGTAAGATTTCTGGTTGCTAGGATTAGCCATTTATGAGATGGGTGATATGACAATAGCATCATAAGACTTGATTGAATAGCCTTATAATAGTCTTAACTAGAGCAATTTTCATCAACTATCAAAGAAGTTAGTAGAAGCAAAACGAATGGAGACAGTAGTATTTGCAGTTGTAAGGAGTTATGAAACAAAGAAATAAATATACATACAGGCAATATTTCAGTTGAAATAATGATATAAGGTATAGGTGTATCTGTGCCACTAAGCCTTTCCTTCCGTCGAATCCGTTACTGTTGTGAACCGTAACTTGGTAGGTCAAGTTTCCCTACACGGTTCAGACCATAAATTAGAGATTTCGTGGGATTATATCGCATCTTTGATTTAATCATCCTTGGTCTATTTTCTGTCTAACCTTAACTAAAATAACTCGATAGAATGAACGGTGACTTGAAGTACATAATTCATATCTCAGCCTTGTTGGTTGGTGAAAATCTACAACTTCATCATCTGACTTAACTCTTTTACCTAATAATCTGCGCAGAACTTGTATATTGCTCGCAGGCTGACTGTGTCACATGTAGATGATGCTACGGTGGCAATGATGGACGAATATATAAAGGTATCCCATTACATGTAAATTGCTGCATAAACAAACTATTTGACAAACGATCATTCTAATTGTGTTGATGAAATTGACGGTTACCACAGTAATCATCCATCTTTTACTTACCATTCATTCTTGATGTCGCATAGTGGTACCTATAATGCCTCATTCTATACATTTTTTCCTTAAAATTGCAGGTCGTAAGTCGAACTCATCATCTTCGTTAACGAAATCGTCCAGTATGAGAACCCGCTTAAGACCGATCATAATTGATGGCAGTAATGTGGGCTTTGCGTAAGTTGCAGTACAGTAGTTATTACTATCATCATTTATACCATTTATGTGCTTAATTTCCTAACTCCTAGATAAGATTTAAAAGAAAGGGTGAATCGCTCATTGGGTTGATGACAATATTCTTTTGACGTACGTCTTTCAAAATGGTTTCGCCATTATAAATCTTTTCTTTTGCTAAACATTTCTTAGTTCCATGATAACACCTCGCTAGCCTTATTTCTATTTTTCATCTTGTATACCGGTTGCATCTTTGTGACAAGTACAGAATTCGAGTGCGTCAATCCTCCACTGATTCTCTCCAACCATGGCTCATAGCAAGCATTATGGTCTATCTGTGTCCTTCATTGGTTTCATGTCGGTAGACACAATGTGAACCAGTGTCTCCTACTAAGCTTCAAGACAGTGCTGACCAGCATCGAAATTACAAGAGACCTTCACCATTGTCGGTTTCTTGAAATATGACCCCCTAGACACATTCCAGATGTGTCCCCGATTGACTCAGCTTCCTTATTTGGGCGTTTTGAAGTCTCCTGCAGTTATTAATATATATATATATATATATATATATATATATATATATATATATATATATATATATATATATATATCAAAGCTTCGCTATATGTGGTAAGATACAATCTATTCTCTGCGTCACGCCAACTATGTGGTTGAGGAGTAGACTGAGATTATGAGTAGAAATTGGCAAGTCTTACAATCCTTCTTAGTTCTTACAGATTCATTCAGTCGAACAGCACACAGATGGCTGTTTACTTTTATCCAGTCGAGAAGTGCGAATTCTGCTCGAAAATGCTCGAAATGCTATGCATACACCAGTGTGTCTCCGTTGAATCTCCAGGCACTCGCTAAGTGAATGTTGCAGATTCACTGCACTGTTCAGATGAGGTCAAGTGAATCACTGCCACACCTGGGTCCTACATGTATGTCTCAGAAACACAGATAACCATGACCGGAGATTCCAGATTTTCGACAAGAGATATCTGTTTCCGGATATGGTATAGTGGTCGGACGATGAAGGCTATGATATGAAGTTGAGAGCGGCGTTTCAGGAGACTAGGAATAGTGTTTCGATGGGATTGATCTTTGGCAATGGTCGCAGGGTGAGAGATTGAGGAAGCTGTAAGATGCGGAATATGAGCACCAGGAAGTGAAGGCAGGAGAGTAGAAAAAGATAAGAATGGTGGGTTAGGACTGTTTGTGTGCTGCTGGAAGCGTTTGGGTGGTCAATTCTTTTTCTATCGCCTACATCGGAGAATTTGTTCCTGTTGGGTACATGATGCGGTCAAAGTAACAATTTTGCATGACCACAGAACCCATGAGAGATCTGATTGAGGTTTGTCACAAGCGGCCTTTGTATGATTGTAGAATTGAGATTTCATAGATCTAATGCCAGACAGGAGAAACGACACTGGTGACAGCAGGAACTGTAGGATAGGGAGGAGTGTGTCATTCTTGGGACCAATTTTTTCGAAATCAGCATTGTACAGCTGTTTGTTCACGGCACTCGCCTTGTTCTCACGTCCCAACCTACCAGCAGTTCAACTTGCCCTGGAATCCACATTATAGTGGTGTAGCAATTTAGACGTTATCGGTAACCGTTCATTGTCCGAGCTTTTTGGTGTTGCATAGGTTCCTCCCAGCCTGCCTCGTTAGATCATTGTGATATGTAATCTTGACTACCAAATCACGGTAGAAGCTATCAGTCGCGAAAGCTATTCGAGGTGGAGGACTTTCGTTTTCTACTTCTGTTTATTTAACCACTGTTTTCTCCACACACTTAGGAAAGAACTAATTCCCAACCGATAGCTGCTACCTCGACGTGGTGGTCGGGCTTGCATATCACAATGACCCAACGAGCTATGCTGGTGGAACACTTGTTCCCTCGAGGTCCTACCATACCAGAAAGGTCTGTTGGATAGTGGTTAGACGAAAAGCAGTTACCGTTGTAGCGTAAATTACTACACTATGATAGGGGTCTGAGGGCGAAGTCATACTGCTGCTAGCTGGATGGGGTGTGACAGCAGTGAGGTGTTTCTCTTGGATGACCAGCAGTCCTATGCTGATGCTGCCTTCTCAGTGGAAGGGGGGAGGGTTAGAAAAGGTCGACCCCAAAAGTAACACACTCCACCATACCTCACGGTCTGCCGGGCCAGCGTTGTTGGTTCATTTGTCGTTTCTTTTCGATCATTCGGCCCAAAAACAACAAAAGTTCAAAATAATCATACTCAAAAGGCTCCGTGTGACAGGCCTCAAACAGACGTCCGGTCACCCAAATCTCTTTCAGGTACCTTAAGAAGAAATAGCCTTCCACGGTGTGGGCAGCCGGAAAGTGTCAACCGCCCTCACAACTCGATCAGCACTCAAATTTCTTCTGACTGCTATCCACCTCCCTCATCATTACCTTCTAATCTTCCTTCACGTCTCTCAACTAACGATACTACATCATCTTCAATTTCTCCTAGCTCTACAGCCTTCGACAACGATCTGAGTCCACAGAACAGCATCCTTGGTCTCCTTAAACCACGCTCCAAATTACATATTGAAGCCTTCAATGTCCGCACCCTCCATCAAATTGGTCAACAGGCTTCGTTGGCGAAGACTCTAGCAACTCGGGCCATGGATGCGTGCTGTGTTTGTGAGACACGCATACAGGACCCAGATAGGATTATTCACCTGACCTCCCCTGACCAATCTGGTGAATCCGCAAAATTCACCCTTCCAGTTTCTGGAGATTCGCGGTCTTGCAGGTGTAGGTATAACATTAAGCACTAGAGCAGGAAGCTCACTACTAGACTGGATCCCAGTTGATAGTCGCCTCTGCACTATCCGACTGAACGGCACAGTGAGAACTAAAAGGAATAGTGAGACTCGCCGTTTTCTCTTTGTAATCTCTGCTTACACACCCACTGACTGTAGTTCGGATGAAGTGAAGGACGAGTTCTACTGTGAACTGTCTAGCCTCGTCTCGAGAGCCAAACGTTCGGATGTGGTGGTTGTTGCAGGTGATTTCAATGCACAAGTGGGTAGACTGAGTGGGGCAGAAAGGCACTTAGGTGACACTTTTGGAGTCCCGGCTGAACGTACAGATAACGGTGATCGCCTACTACAAATGGTGGTAAGGTGCTCTTAATCAGTTTAACGGAAGTGTTAACTAGTATATGGGAATCAAATACAATCCCCTCCGACTGGTCTGAATCATTGATTATCCCAGTCTTCAAGAAAGGCGAGAAGTCCTCTTGTGATAACCACAGAGGAATCAGCCTGACGAACATAGTATCTAAAATTCTAGGTTCTATAATCATTCGACTCCTGAGTGGAGCTCGGGAACAGCAAGCCCGAGAAAACCAGACAGGCTATAGACCCGGCCGCAGGTGTATCGAACAAATATTCACACTGCGCCAGGTCCTGGAACATAGGCACGCCTACCGACGCCCGACAATAGCTATATCTCTCGACCTGAAGGCGGCATTCGACTCCGTTAATCGAGAAGTCTTGTGGCAATGTCTCTCACTGAAAGGAGTGCCGGCTAAGTAAATCACCTTATTGAAGGCTCCTTGATCGAACACTTGTGGGCGTGTTAGAGCCTATAGTGAGATGTCCAGGGAGCTATGCTCATCGAGTGGTGTCCGTCAAGGGTACCCACTCTCTCCATTCTTATTCAATTTCATCATAGATATTCTTATGGAGGTCTCCCTTTCGTCAACTGATTACAAACGTTGACCTAATCGCAGGAGAATTTTCGTTAGACCTAGAATATGCAGATGACATAGTCCTGTTAGGTGAAGACGCTGACAAGATGCAGAGTCTTCTGAACACTTTGAGTGTTAATTTGAGAATGTTTGGGATGCGGTTCTCACCACCCAAATACAAATTGTTGCTCCATGATTGGTCTTCAGCGGTGCCACGGCTAACAACAGTGAGTTTGGTGATTGAGTGTGTCGACCATTCCGCCTACCTGGGAAGTAGGATCAGCCCTGGTGGCTAGCTCAGTGGCCGATGAAATCTCTGCACGGATACAAAAGGCTCGGTTGGCTTTCGCCGACTTACGTCACCTATGGCGCCACCGTGATATCCGATTGTCTATTAAGGGTTTCGTGTACTGCACATCAGTCCGCTCTGTTCTACTGTATGGCTGTGAAACATGGCCATTGAAGGTGGAAGACATGAGAAGGCTTCAGGTGTTTGACTACCGTTGCCTTCGAAGTATAGGCCGTGTTCCGTGGTGTCACCATGTGAGTAATGCAGAAGTCAGGTGTAGAGTTTTAGGGAGTAGAGGTAAATCAGTTGACGAGGTTATGAACTTTCATCGACTGTGATTGTTGGGACTTGTGTTACATATGCCTAGTCGCCGGCTGCCTCGTCATACAATGTTGGCCGAAGTAGGTCCAGGCTGGAAAAAGGCCCGAGGTGGCCAGACTAAAACATGGCACCAATGTATGAAGTCTCTGACCATTGGTTTGAACCATGTGGGGTGATGCAGACTAGGTGGTTGGGGTCCGCGAGACAAGAGGAACCAGTGGTTGGAGACTCTAGGTGATATGGCTCAGAACCGATGTCAGTGGCGCAGATGTATACACACATTATCCTCATCTTAACGACGCTATACCGAATCTCATCTTGCAGTTCATTGCCTTTTAGTTGATGTACTAATATGAGCTGTGGCAACTCGAACCGTTACGCAATAATGCCTGGTGCTATATTGTTATCGATGATGAAGTAGTGGCTGATATTTGTTGGTTATTTTTTAGGATCTCTGAGTGTTTGTGAATGCTGGTAAAATTTCGTTGTATAATGTGTTTATGATTGAAAGTACTATTGTGAGTTAAATTGTTGATTTACGAGTGGTAATCTGCGTTATGAAGCTGGATATAAAACATTGGTTGTTGCTGAAATATTTTGTTCCACCGGAAGAAATAAGCTCTATAGGATTTAGAAATTTGTCGCCTTGAAGTATGCATTGTGTAATCTAATGAACTCTTCTCACTTCAATCTGAGAAGACCAGAAACATATGGAGTTGTAAAATGTTTGTTTATTTCTTTGACTATTCAGGTTAACTTTTATTTGTGTAGTTTTTGAGGTATTAAGGGAACACCAATACTCATCAAGATGCAGATGCATCCAGTGTATTAGTTTTAAGTCGGACAAGATGTGTGTTTGTGATTTCATTGTTAGCCTTTACCGATCTGACTAATCTGCAGGAATGAACTAACATGTCGTTAACAAATAGACTCCAGTGAGCAAATGGAGCTGACTACGAATAACGATCATACCTACTATAAAGTTGTATTTTACCGAGGGTAAGGCGTATCAAATTGCACGCGGTTCATTAGGGCAGCAGCTCTTTTCAAGCTAAATAACGTCACTACAGAATTTGTGGCGTAGGTTAATAGCTTACGATGTGGATATTCATGGTGAGTTATTTCCTAAACTGAAGTTTCAGTCGGCAAACGTTTCATTGGCGTGGTAGATATCATCATCCATGCATCAGAGTTCTACAGAAATGTGACTTGGTAGTTTAACATATCAAAGTTCTGAGAACATCAAACCACCACCATCCTCTTCCTGAGCTACAAACCTTTTCCACCACTTCTAAAGCTTCCTAACGTCTTCTGTTTTATGGCGTGAACCTCTCGATTATATACTTGAAATTTCTTTTTGCTAAGCAACGTGTTCTATTTTGGTTCTGGTCCTAGTGGAATAATCCTTCCTCCACACAAATTTTCGTATAAAACAATGGATTTTCAAATCTGAGCGTTCAAGCAGAATAAATACGTTTGTGGATAAATGAATTCAGTTTATTTCATGCTTCTGCTTTTTCTCATGATCTTGAATTAAACAAGAACAGCAATTTTAACATAGTACTATGACGCCATTGTATTTCACATTCTACTTTTCAGCTGCTTATTAGGTAATAGGTGACAATCATTATAATTGACTAAGACAGACAGAATCAACGTAGGACCTCGCACACAGCTACATCGGCTCAAGTTGCCACACTTCACAGTAGTAGTACACAGAGAACAGGTAGATGGAAAAGGAGTGATATCAAAGTAGATAAAGTCGCGTGAGAGAATAAATCATCTCAAGATAACGGTTAGTGTAATTATTCTGTGTGAACCCTTTCCTATCTGCTGTTAGACGATGGTCCTGTTAGATTGCAAACTTCATTTTCAGATGCGAAGATAATCTATGTAAACTGCTTAGGTCCCATTATTCCCGTTCTATTGATGGTTGTGTATTAGAGAATGTCACAAATGTGATTTATCTTTGCATATATTTTCCCTTGAACCTTTTCTGGTCCTCCCATATCTTACTAATTTTGTGTAAAATTTCGGTGTTATATTTTCGAATGATCAAGAATAAATCTACTTACAAATTTGAATAGTTTAGTGGTTTAGTCTATGGTTTCATCATAGAGTTATACAAGTTAAAATCTTCGAGGAGAAATACGTGTTTCCTGATGGTCGCAGATACACCCTGCGGACGAAGAAGAAGCGGTGAACGTTAGAATTCCAAAGAATCTATTTTTTGGTTAAATCACCATGATATTCACATTGAACTATGTCCGAAAACTTGCAAAGAAGTATAGCTGTCTGTCTATTGTACCAGGTAAATGGATCACTATGTCGTTCTGTACTACAGCAGTGCTCATATTCTCAGGTTTTATGAATTGTAAAGTATTTTTGTGGCTTATAGACCATTACAAATCTGAATTAGTCATTGTATGCACAAAAATTCCTTTTCAACACTTACCTTAAACTATGGAAAAGACTCACTACACTTCTGTCATAATACCGGCTAGTTATGTGAATGCTTTTGCTGTCTCGCTTGATTGATAGACCGTTTTCTTCCCTTTTTCGCCCCTATCATATCCGTATGATTTCGGTTTTGTTTATCTGTTGACTTGTGTAACTTTAAACAAACATTGCCTAATTTGTATATTTCTGGTTTTTGACTGCATACCCTCTTAATGAAGCCTAATGCAGCCGATGTTTTGTAAAAAAATAGAGAAACACTTTTCTTATTATTATGACTTTAACTGGTAATCTCTGTGGCATAATCGAAGGAAGAAGTGTAGTTGTCACTATTATAGCAGTTTGCGACTTGCAAGTAAAGCTTAATTGTTCTGTGAATATCATGCATAGTAAATTGTTACTTTCGAATTCGATCTCCATTTAAATTATTTACACGTTAGAGGGAAATCGTAAATGCCGTGCTTCAATAGCGATTGGTTATTTTTAATGATGTCGCTGAGTAAACGTAGGGTTTAAGTTATTGTGAATAACAGTTGCTTCTGACACCTTTGTTCCTCATGCTTCGTTGATCGTCGACAGTATCATAAAATAATAGCTGGCATATAGCTGTAGGAGCTGTTTTATGAAGTAAAATTACATCGTTTTGTACATAATGTTAACCTAAGTACAACTACAGTATGAAAGCGTCTAAAATATTGATCTGTATTTTGGCCTATTTCTCTCCCTAAAATATTCCCATTGTTAAGATGATTTTGTCCAGCAAGTGTAGTAGCAGTAAATCTCAGGATACTTTGTGAATGTTTGGTAGTATGCATTGTGTAACGTTTGTCCTATTGTCATTTGGTTTTCTTTTCTCCCGAAGTCATGGGAAACAAAAAGAATTTAGTGCTACAGGAATTCGTTTGGCACTGGATTATTTTGCAAAACGTGGCCATGAGGATGTGGTTGTTGTAATACCTAGACATTATCATGGGAAAGGTGGTCGTTATTTCGATGAACTTGAGCATTCAGGCAGATTGACATATACACCATCACGAACACTGAATACAAAAAGACAAACGGTATATGATGATCGGTAGGTTTTATTTTTCAAAGTACCCTATACTTCACATTAAAAAAAATTAAATCGAATTCATTTAACTTCGATTGCTACCCTTGAAATGTATATTCAACGTAGAAAGAAAAACAACAATGGTATATAACGAGGTTAGAATGCGATGCAGTTAGTTATTCGTGTAAGTTATCACATTTCCCAGCTGTAGCGTATTGGGATGTGAAAGTTAAAAAGAGGAAAACAGAATAGTAGTTATTTAAGCAGAAGTAGAGAACTTCGGGTAATATTGAGAACTGCTTAGACAGAGAATGGAGTGGTATAAAATAGTTGATCGTTTTAGACTTACAGAAACCTCTTAACTCATTATAATCAACCTTGTTTCTAACCCCTTATTTTGGTTGTCTTGCGTACCCCTATCCAAGAAGTCTGAAGTTCCTTATGTGATTTTACCAGGTATAAGTTGATTCATTGATAAGTGTTGTTCTTTAGTCTGGTTAACCGAAAGTTTTTTTCATTCATCCTAAGCTAGGTGGTGTTGTACAATGACCAGGTGCTGTCTATACGTCATAACGTGTTCCTCATTGCTTAGATTGATGCGATTTGAATATCTCATCAAATAATCTACTCTCTTATATTTTCTCGTATCAGTCACCGACACTTACAGCTATACTGTGGTAGTTCAGTGTAGTTAACTCTCAACAGAAAATTGTATTTCACCTTTTCCAGTGTAAGTTAACAATGGTTAAATGACTTGTTTTTATCCGTAGCAGGATTTTATCACCCACCACTATCCACTGATGCTTATGCAACCCATTGGGCCTCACCATTTCCTTTTCTATTCTTAAAAAAAATCGGTGCCAACCAGTCCTGAAGCACTGTCTTGTATATGACACGTATATTTACTTCTACTGTTCATAAGACTTCATAGTTTCTCACCATCTTCACTTGTCAGTTCCGCATTGTTTGAGTACTTCGGTAGATAATGCTTTTACTATAAGCGCGTCAATGATGGAGGTAAATGAAGACAAAGCAAGTCAGCACCTTTGACAACCACCACTCAACGTAGTCAGTCGAAGTAATGACCTCTTCCGATAAGTAGTAGCCATACAACCATGGATTTCTGGGTACAGCTGTCTTCGTTGTACGATATGTCTGCGAAACATTTAATACAGTGAGTTATGCAAGTACTGTTGTACGAGTATCACAGAAAGATGTAGGGTGTATTATTATCAGCCCCAAACTTTTGTGTTTTCTAACCTGCCCTTATTTTTAACTGTGATTAGCACATTAGATTTGGAATTCATATCTCATGGAACATAGATCGGTACCAATTTTAGACACAAAATTCTTTTTTAAGCGTATCAACAAATTTATCATTTTTTGTAATCAATAATTAAAGAATTCGGTGATCAACTCAATTATCATTCAGTGTGCATATTCCCGTACATTACAGTAAGTTACATATTGCTTTTTCATTTGTTATACATTGATTAAATCTTCTTGGAAGTAATATAAAGGAGGCAAGTGGTCGTCTCAGTGTATGTATCTGTGTGTCGATTTCACTACTACTACTACTACTGATTGACATCTGTTCGATTGTATTCAGAAATACCAGTTTCCTCGTGTTTGAAAACAACCCTTACTAATGACTGCAAATAAAGTTAAAATAAGTCGAAAAATAACTTTCTGATGATTTCTTCCAACCGTCTAACAGATTTACAGCTGACCAGTCTACAGTTATAGGGAAAATATACTTGTAAAATCTCATTGAGGTAGAAAAATAAATTTCTGACGTTTTGTAACCCTGTGGAAGTCTTTTATTCAGCGAATAAAACCCGATGAAGCGACTTCCACATGGTTACGAAACGTTAGAAATTTATTCTTCTACCTCATTGGGATTTACGAACCTATTTCCTTGATAGTCCATTTATCCAATGCTCAAGTTGTTCGCTTCTGTCAGGTCATATTTTGATCCTGAACTCTATAAAATAACAATCAACTTTAATTTTGTATCTCGTTTACAGTATAAAAAAAAAAAATTCATCTTGACTAGAAAATTACCGTTTTCTTCTTCTCGAACTATGTATTTACTTTTAGCATAATCTTACAGCTGGCGGCTGATAAGGATGCAGTTATCATATCCAATGATCAATATCGTGATCTTATGTCTGAAAATGCCAAATTTAAAGAACTTATTGAAACACGGTTGGTATTTTTGTCTACTTATAACTGTTTTTGTGTATGTTAATTAGTTAAACAAATTATGAGTGGCTGAACACCAACCAATGTTATTTTGTCTAGTCGACTAACTGCTTGCAAATATCTAGTACCAAATACAACAGTTTACTTCAGAATGCTGTTATACTGTGGGACTGATTGCTAAAGACCTAATCGGTACTAGAAACTGAACAACACAGTGTTGATTACTACTATCTAGTGATAGAATAATTTAATTGATGTAATTCTATAGGTGACCAGTTCTGGCTTCAAAAGGTCAGAGGTAACATTCCTGAGTACAGCCATGAGTGATACAGACTATTATATCATCAGGTAGCATCATTTCTGCTTAGAATATGTACAGACCTCATCCGTCCAACACGCGAAAAATCTAGGTCGATCACCATTTCTTGCTAAATACTTCGAAGCGTATTACTGTAGAACTATATCATGAATCATTATAGTGCATGTTTGAGTTTGTTGCATTTTGATTTTCGACTGTTTTTCTTATCTTGTTTTCTTTTTGCGGTATGATGATGTACTTGTACCCCTATAAGAAGTGGAAATTCGGCCAATTTATTGACTTTTTATCAGTTCAGTTTGACAAGTTCACTTTCAATATTGCGTTTAAATTATTCAGATTGTAGTAATACTAACAAATGTGAAGGTTGATTTAACTCGACTGAATATCATGGGTGAAACTAGTGGATCAAAAGGTGGACAGTACATAGTTAAAATTCTGAACGAAATGTAGAATTAGTCCATCACCACCAGGTGCTACTTGTTCAATGTGCCAGTTTGCGATGAGCTACACAATGACTTGATTATTTTTCTATAGATTACGCTCCAAATAAATAGAAGAGCGAATAAGCATCTATATTCGGCGTATTAGATCTGCTGTATATCGATAGTTTAGTGATTATTGCGAATTGCTAAGTCACAATAGTCTTTATTTAGTGTAATCAAAGTAGTATCTAACATAACTGACTCTGTAGTAAATTTCGAATGCTTTACCCAAGTCCAATAATGAAATGTGTATTAGGTGAATTTTTATTCGCTTGCTCTGCTAGTGGATTTGCCAAGTTACATACTAGGTGGTGCGCTGAAAAAGTTTTCAAAAATCTTATTATTTCAGACTAGTTGGAAATAAATAATTGTAATATGGTGTCTGTTTCCGAGAGATCTAAATATTTTTTCATTATTTTTGCAGATTACTTCCCTATGTTATGTCAGGGAATACATTTCTTCTTCCAGAGGATCCTTATGGACCTAAAGGCCCTTCCTTATCTACGTGTTTATCCATGTCAGATTCACCACAGTGTTGGTAAACATAATTTGTTTTTTTATTCATCTATCTTCTGTCTGCTTTTATTTGAATGAAGTAAAAGCATTCGACTTTTGAAGGGGAAAACAAAAGTAATCATTCTCACTTCACTCACTGTTGTACAAAAGATTTCATTGAGTTTACTTCCACTAATCTATATTTTGTTAAGTTTTGGATGAATTATTCACTTTGTTTGATAGTATTGGGATTAATATTGTTACAAACACACTGATTCCACTATTTTACTTATTCGTGTGTGTTGTTCACCTTTGTAATTGCTGTTATGTTTCCTCTGCATTCGGCATACAAGTACTTTTTTTGCAGATGACGAGATTGGTGGTATGCTGTGCGTAACTTGTGAATTAAAAGAGGTAACAGTCTCATTCCTAGGAAAAAAATCGTTTCGTTCCTGATTTTCATACTTTCTGGCTTTATAAACTTGAGACAATGATTTTCACTATGAAACTGTTGCTATTCTCTTGCAGCATCCACTGTAGTGAATGTTGGTGATAAGTTCTCTTCATTTTGTTCTCTATACTTGCCAGGTATAAGACATTAAATTGTGACAGTTAATTCCTGTTTTCAAGCTGTTTCCATAGAACTGTGCATACTTTTTACAATTTATGAATTCCCCTAAGTGACCTGGTTTAGTCATAAAGCCGTATGTTGAAGTCAGATTTTTGTTTTTCTAGGGTAACCAAATAACAAAAACCGTTGGTAATTTTTTCCCGATTTAATCTGTCTTCTACTTAGTTTTCAAAGTGAATTTTATCACATTTTTTGTGATTGGTTCTTGGGAAACGGAACAGATCACTAAATAAACTGACCAAAGTTCATCGCTTATGTTCAAGTAATTTGTCAAGTGAACTATGGTTCAGTTTTAAACTATTCCTAAAATACGAAATCATTTCGTCGAGAGATACAATTATTTGCCGAAGGATAATTTTTCTATTGGTTTACTACCTTTTGCATAATTGGGTTTAATAATCTTTAATTATTGATGCAAATAACTGGTCCACTAAAAGTCAGATTATCTTGAATTATCGTATTGACTATTAATCAACATCAAACTATTGCGGTAATTAGTATATATGTATTTATGGGCACTGTGGTAGAATGTAATTCCATATTAGATTTATTTATTTGATACGTCACAGTGATACAGTCAGTTATTGTTCATTACCCTGAGTCAGTTAGTATCAACATGTTAATGCTGCATAAAAAACCAACTCTCTACATTTCACATCGAGATATAAGGAAGCAAGACGAAAGGTAGAAGGTGTGGTGTAGTGCAATAATAAGTCACAAAAAGTTATAAGAAGAAGAGTGAAAGTTAACTTGGCCAGTACTATACGATGCAGTATACGATCGCAAGGTACACGTAACACGTCCCAGCCACCTGAGTTTAAGAAAAGTTAACAACCATATCAACCGAATTACTTCATTACCTAGTGGTATACCCATAGCTTTTGCGATACTGATGTGGGGACTATACGACACTACCTGTGCTATGAAAATAGCGGTGGTCGAACACCTGAAGCCTGCTCATATCCTCCAGCTTCACTAACCGTATTTTGCATCAATATAGCAGATTAGAGCAAACTGCCGCACAGTAAACTTGGAGCTTAATAAATACTTGGATATCAGATTAGTTTCAGTTCGCCAAGGTCAAGTGGGCCTTTTGTATATCGACCGAGATTTCGTCGGTCACCAACATCATGGTTGCTGCGATTTCCGTATTGTATTTATTTATTATAGCACACAGTGATGCAGTGTTATTTACTGTATTATGTTTTGATTAGAACTTACAGCTCAAAATCATATCAAAGTAAAGAATTGTACTATAACACAGACACCAAATTTTGCTCTTTATATCCGACTTTCTAATTGAAGTAATTGACCCACTCAATCACTTAGCCCTCTATGGTAAAAAAATGTATTGCTGCGGATCGTTCCTGGAGCAATAATTAGCACTTCACTGGTAATCAACATAGCCGAGAAGCTCTCAAATTGTAACCGATGTCGCAATCGATAGCTGCTATCTTGACTTGGTGGTCGGGATTTCATATCACAATGACCCAACAAACAATCCTATTAGGATACTTCTGTTCAGGTTTCACCACACTAAAAAGGTCTATTAGATAGTAGTAAGACCAACAGCAGTTACTTTTATAGTAAAATACACAAAGCTGTGCTAGGGATCAAAAAGGAAGTTGTAATGCTGATGCCGCTTTTTATACGGAAGGGTTATTCGGAAAAAGCCTGTCCCAAGAATGGCACACTCCTCCCTATCCTACAGTTCCTGCTGTCACCAGTGTCGTTTCTCCTGTCTGGCATTAGATCTATGAAATCTCAATTCTACAATCATACAAAGGCCGCTTGTGACAAACCTCAATCAGATCTCTCATGGGTTCTGTGGTCATGCAAAATTGTTACTTTGACCGCATCATGTACCCAACAGGAACAAATTCTCCGATGTAGGCGATAGAAAAAGAATTGACCACCCAAACGCTTCCAGCAGCACACAAACAGTCCTAACCCACCATTCTTATCTTTTTCTACTCTCCTGCCTTCACTTCCTGGTGCTCATATTCCGCATCTTACAGCTTCCTCAATCTCTCACCCTGCGACCATTGCCAAAGATCAATCCCATCGAAACACTATTCCTAGTCTCCTGAAACGCCGCTCTCAACTTCATATCATAGCCTTCATCGTCCGACCACTATACCATATCCGGAAACAGATATCTCTTGTCGAAAATCTGGAATCTCCGGTCATGGTTATCTGTGTTTCTGAGACATACATGTAGGACCCAGGTGTGGCAGTGATTCACTTGACCTCATCTGAACAGTGCAGTGAATCTGCAACATTCACTTAGCGAGTGCCTGGAGATTCAACGGAGACACACTGGTGTATGCATAGCATTTCGAGCATTTTCGAGCAGAATTCGCACTTCTCGACTGGATAAAAGTAAACAGCCATCTGTGTGCTGTTCGACTGAATGAATCTGTAAGAACTAAGAAGGATTGTAAGACTTGCCAATTTCTACTCATAATCTCAGTCTACTCCTCAACCACATAGTTGGCGTGACGCAGAGAATAGATTGTATCTTACCACATATAGCGAAGCTTTGATATATATATATATATATATATATATATATATATATATATATATATATATATATATATATATATATATATATATATATATATATATATATATATATATATATATATATATATATTAATAACTGCAGGAGACTTCAAAACGCCCAAATAAGGAAGCTGAGTCAATCGGGGACACATCTGGAATGTGTCTAGGGGTCATATTTCAAGAAACCGACAATGGTGAAGGTCTCTTGTAATTTCGATGCTGGTCAGCACTGTCTTGAAGCTTAGTAGGAGACACTGGTTCACATTGTGTCTACCGACATGAAACCAATGAAGGACACAGATAGACCATAATGCTTGCTATGAACCATCGTTGGACAGCGGTCGATTTGATATTAACTAATTTATTTTTGAAGACTAAATAGCACTGGATGTATGCTGCGAATAATCTTTAAATGGCACCTTATTTTGGGCACGTATAAACTATCTGTAGATTTGAAAGAGAAACCGTTTGCACAGTAAGTACAGCATGACGTTTGATGACTTCTGTGAAGTAAAAAAGTCACCAGAGTTTAAGACCCATAGAAGAAACTAGGAGTGATTGAAGTCGTAGCCACCAAATGTCAAATCTCAACAGCCTGCTGGGTGACTTTCGAGATTTGGTTGCAGTGAGTTCAAGTCCCAGTAATCATCTGATACAGTTTCATTGAAGTCCAGTCATATTTTCATGGATAGGAAGAAGCAGTTTCCTTGGATTTCACTGCTAGGTTTTCTTACTTACTGTTTATTATTTCGTCTGCCAAAATAAAATTTCGAATTACCTTAAAGATATTCTTCATAATTTCACTAGAGATCTTTGTGATCTTGCACTTATTTGATACCGAATGTTTTACTAGCAAGATCATATTACTGAGGAGTAGTCCAGAGTATGAGAAAGCCCTTTGACGTCTGGATGCAAGTGAACAATCATCTATGTGCTGTTTGAATGAGTGGATCTGTAAAAACTGAAGGATAGGGAGACCAACCGATGCCTATTCATAACCTCCGCCTACGCACCCTAAACCTATGAAATAAGAAGAATCTCTATCACTGTAAATTCTGTTCAGGTTATGAACATTCATAATACTATCTAGTTCGTATATATACTCACCGAGGTGATTTCTATGAATATACATTGCTAGAAACGCTGAAAGCAGTCATACAAATTAAAAGCATCTAAATCGAACATGAGGATAGAAGCACATCGCCAACATAATAACTAACTAGACAAAACGTACGCAGAAGCGCAAGGTCTAAGTTGTCACACTTCACAACAACATTTAAACAAGATGATAGCAAAAGGTCCACATTACGGTGGACAAAACTGCATGAGAGTTGACAGAATTAATAGATGTGTATCACTGAGATGCTAAAAACTCCGGAGATATCAAAAATGCAATACATCTACACCATTGTGTTCGATTTTTAGCCAAGAGTCTTAGAGCATGGTTTCCCACTCTCGACAACTTCAGTTAGATAGTCTGCTCCTGCCTACATAGCTTTGTCAAGTACTCCATGGACTGGTATCATGTATTCTTCTGATCACACTTAGCACTCCTCCAACTCAATCCTATCTTCGAATAACACTTCGTCGCTTTGTATACGAGCTGAATTCCTTCAACAACCAAACAGAGAATGTCAACGCGTTCAACAAGGCCACTTCCCACCCCTATATTAGGAGTTGGTGCACACCGGTCGTGAAGCGTCAGTCAAGTAAGGTGTATACTGAATCCTCACGAATAAACACGCAGTATGGAGGCGTGTTATGTATATGCTTGACATTGATGCTAAGAATTGTTAATTTATTTAAATTCCTAAAGAATGAATTGATGAAAGATATATTTAGAATATA